GGGGGTTGGTGGGGAACATGGGAAGATGGGAGGACAAGGGAATGGGGGATGGATATGTAAATATGAGTGGTAATTAAAGAATTTAAATAAAAAGTCACTCAAAAAGGAAAAAGATGGGAATAAATATAGACAGATAGGAAAATAATGTTATGAACAGTAATATATATTTAATGGAACACTTAAGAAACTACATTAATTCCTGGGAAAAATATAAAAAGAGATGAAATAGACTATAGGAATAAGACAATAACATTTAAAGAAATTGAAATGTAACCTCAAACATCCCTGAACACCATCCCCCACCTCCTTATTTCATGTCCTGGGTATATAAGAAGACTGACCAAATTCTCAAGAAACAAATAACTTCTATCTCCTGAAGATGATTACCAAAATTATAAGAACAGAGAAGGTTCTTCAAGATCTTACATAAAGCTTTTATAATTGCTATTTCAAAATGAGATGACATACAAGTAAGAAGGTGAAAGTTATCCTTTTCCTGTAAATATAGGCAGAAAAATCCTACATAAAACATGAACTAATGGGCCAGGGAGATGACTCAGTGGGGGAAAGACTGTTGTCACCAAGCCTGCTGGCTTGAGATTGTGAGGTACAGATGGGGTACACCATATCTGTACTCCACAAGGTGGAATGAAACAATAAACTCTTCAAGTTGTGCACTGGCCTCTGCACATGGACACGCATGAACACACACATGCACAAATAAATAAATATAAGAAAATTAAAATATATGAACTAGACGTGTAATAGTGCATTAAAATTGACAAACCACAAACAGCTGGGTGGTGGTGGTAGTGGCATACACCTTTAATCCCAACACTTGGGAGGCAAAGACAGGTGGATGTCTGTAAGTTCAAGGACAGCTGGTCTACAGAGTGAGTTCCAGGGCAGCCCCCAAAGCTATCTCAAAAATAAAATAAAGTAAGCCATGAACAAAGGTTGCCCTAGAATGAAAGCAATTTAACACCCCCCAAAATTCTGTGGCTATAATCCTACATGCTATCTTATTAATGTTTAGCCAAATTAACAGACCAAATTGAATCGATCACATATGCTCCTTAGTAAATTATAAAAGTCATTTGTCCAGTTCAACACTTTATGATGTAAACCAATGAACTTCACTCTATAGTCAGAAGGATTTTGCAAAGTCAATGAACATTATGACATCAGAACCCTGTATCAAACAGCAGAAATGGTGGCTATACCCAGAGGATATTTTACACCAGAACAGGTAATCAGAGAACTAAGTTCACATCCCAGGGCATGGATAAATATTCAGAGCAGAATCTGAACTCTATAGTACTTCCATATGCTGTGATAAGTCTACAGAGCAATACCACATATCAGGAAAACACACCCTTTCACACACAGGTGCACAACTAACATCAGACATAGAAGGTATGCAGGATGTTCTTTTATTTTGATTTTTCAAGATGAAAGAGAATGAGCAAATCACATAATTAAAGGGACTTGTAGGTTTTGATTACATGCCAGGAATTCATGGATTATGATTAACTCAGTCTTTTGCGCATGAAGTTAAATAGAAAGAAGCCGATAAACTAGCAATGGTTGGGAAATCTTCAACTTTTAAATCAGTGGAGTCAGCTCTAAGATCGCCAAGCACCAAGCTGGACGCCCATCTTGCTGCTTGGTGCTCACTCCTGCACAGCCATTCAAGTGGTCCAGTGGTCTACAGACTATCTATGTGAAAACAACTAGATCTTCGCTCTCTTCTGGATTTTCTTAGCATCCACCACTGCCCTTGTTAGTTACACCACATAATCCATCCAGTCATCTACAATCTTTACTTCAACAGCAATCTCCTGTGACGTCAGTGTTAAGGTGGAAGCTTCACCCCAGCCCTTGGCATCCATATACCCAGAGTCTGGGATGTTATGGTAAAAGCTTTGCTCCAGCCCCTGGCATTCACATATCCAAAGAGTCTGGGATGTTATGGTGGAGATTCCACCCAAGTCCCCCTCCACCATCTCCCTCCAAACCCTGCTATGTCTCAGAAAGCCCACCAAATGATGGTCCCCTCCCCCAGAGATACTCAAGACCACTGCCACAGATATTTAAACTGTCTCCCAGAAACAAAACTTGTGGTTTTTCTGGTCTCTCTTTCTCATATTCTCTCTGGGCAGCTGGAAGGCCATCCTGGAACATTGTCTCCATTAAATGTGAGTTTTTCTTAATTCGGTTTGATTTGGTCTGATTTAGATTGCTGTACTGGTGGAGCAATCAGGGTGTAGAGACTTTTCAGTCAGGTTTGTGTTGGTCCACAGATAAATGTGATCCATCTTTTGCCCAAGAAAATTTTTTTGTTTGTTTTTGGAGACATGTTTTCATGTAGCTCAGGTTAGGCTTGAACTTGCTTTTGTAGCCAAGGATATTCTTGAATTTCTGATTTTCCTGTTTTTACTTTCTCAGTGCTGAGACTGCAGGCATGTACCACCACACCCAGTTTTCTGAAGTGCTGGGGGTCAAACCTGGGACTTATGGCATGCTAGGCAACTACACTACTAAGCCACATTCCTGCTCTAGGAACTTTCTTACTTTTCTTTCTTTCTTTCTTTCTTTCTTTCTTTCTTTCTTTCTTTCTTTCTTTCTTTCTTTCTTTCTTTAATTAAGAAACTGTTAGTAGTCTTTTCCCTGAGAGAATAGACAGTGAAATATACTGTTATTTTTTTCCCAACCGAGACTTGGGGCAATGTAAAAATTGTGAAATGGATTTAGAATTCTATTTCTAACTGGTATGCAGAGAAAAAAGAAGGGCTATCGCCATATTCTCCTAAAAACCATGTGTTTGTTTCAAAAAGGAGACAAAGAATATTTAAGAGCCAACGCTTTGGGCTTGAATCAAACATTATTTGAATTCCAGCTGTGGATTTAAATTTCCTGGGCAGCCATTGCTTTGTCTGTACAGAGGAGAGACATTGTTTGCCAGCTCCATGATAACAAGAAATGAAACCCTACATATGAAGAGCTTGGCTTGGTGTTCAGCACATAGTGCGCATGCAGATAAGGCTGCTACAACTGTAGCCTTTATTTATGACTGGACTTCCATATTTCAGATTCTTCTGATGGCATTGCCCTCTGTGGCACACTAGCAATGATAAGGGACAAAGAGGCATTTCTAAGACAATTCTAAATGGAGTGGCACACCTCATTTTATATCTACAACTCCAGAGCAGTGGTTCTCAACCTTCCTAATGCTGAGACCCTTTAATTCAGTTCCTCATGTTGTGGTGACTCCCAACCATAAAATTAGTTTTGTTGCTACTTCATAACTGTAATTTTGCTATTGTTATCAGTCTTAATATAAATATTTTTGGAGATAGAAGTTTGCTGAGGGGGCTGCGACCCACAGGTTCAGAACCATAGCTCTAGTAGGATGCTGGAGTCAGACAGAGAAGGCGAAAGCCAAGATCAGGAACTTGCAACTTATTAGAGGGGAGATTAGACTGGAATTATTTTTACAATATTGATATTCTTGGAATTCAGGAGAAAGTCTGTTGCACTATGGAAATGCAAAGAATCCTAAACATTAGCCCTAACCCCTCATTTTAAAGACAAAGAAACGGAGGCCTGGTAGAAGCAGCTGCCCATCAAGTGAGGGATTAATCCACTTGTTCTAAATTTCAAACATAAAATGTTGTTTTCCTTTTTGGCAGATATTTGGTTATTAGGTCAAAGAATTGTGGGAGGGGATGGGGTGGACTTCTAGCACCTTCTATTATTGGCCTATTTCCTCACGGCCCATTAACTTTGCCTGGATAAATATTAAGCAGGCTTTGAGTCCTTGATGTCCTGACTTCTCATATCTTTCCAAAACTGACCCTCCAGTGCTTTTAGATTTTGTTTTTCCTGCTAGCAATGATTATCTCACCTCCATTTCTGTCTCTGAAAAAGGGGATTCTGTCACAACATCTCTATGTCCACTTGAAGACCATCCCCCAGTACCCACCAGCTCACTCCTAGCTCATCTTTTTATTTTCTTCTCCCCCGAGGCTTAGTCCTGCCTGAATTTGCTTATTTTGCCTGACTACTAGAATGGTGCATTGCTGGCAGGGAGGTCACTTGTCCCCACTGTAGTCCCAGAGTCTAGGACACCACCAGGAACACAGAACAAATGCTCAATAGCTGTCTGTTGTCACAGTTTTGAGACACACTTTTAAACATTATCTTCCATTTATCCGGTGTTCCACTGTGTGGCAAGAGCTGTAGTGACTGAAGGTTTAATGCATCACCTCATTATTATTATTGATGTACTTGAAATATCTTAGGGGGCCTTCTGTCCTCTTTGCAGAGTTCCCAGCCATCATGTAACTGGCTAAAACTGGCTGGATTCCAGCCCCAGGGCTCATGCCTTTGCTTGTTAGCTGTTGTGCTCAGTGCCACAGTTGTATCTGTTGTAGTTTTCTAAAGAAAAGAATGCCAAGGAGATTGACTTGTTTGGTGTCAATAAAAGGTGAGTTGAGGGTGGGGAACATGTAAATTAGGATTCTGGCTCTATATCTGTTTTGCCAGAGGATGGGTATCCTTAATTATTATCAGCAGGCTGTCCTTGGTTTCCTCCAGTGCAGAGAATCCATACTCCAGGCACCCCGATGTTTCAGCAATGAAAAACCTGTCTGAGTTCCAGGATATAGGTGGTCTGGGCTCTCTGCCTTCTACTCTTGTCTAAGGCAGTCTGCCAAATGAGTTGCTGTGGCTGCCACACCTTCCAATATGCCTCCCCTTGGGTCAGCCCAGGGCTGGTGACCTAGAGTTGGACATGGGCCACTCTTGCCCATACACTGCTGTGTCAGGGCAACGCCCACTGGAAGAGTGACCTGCAGACTGCAATAGGAGGCACCCTTTGAAACCTCTCCTCTCTTGTCCTCCCTGAAAGTCAGGTTAAAACCATCAGCCTCACGTCCTGAGGGCAAACTTTCAGAGCCTTCTGCCAGAGCTAGAGACCTCACTCACTGGGAGCCAGCATGTCAGCTGTGGTCCTGGAGAACCCAGTGTTGACCAGAAAACTCTCAGACTTTGGGCAGGTGAGTGTGGTGAGCCTCCATAGCCAGGAGAAGCTTGGTTCCCCAGATGGGAAAGCAGTCTGGGAAATACTGGTATTTCTAAGGCCATTAAGAAATAAGAATTTATTTGAAGATAATGAAAATGCCCAGGAAGTCAACTGATGAGACTGTCCTTAACAGATAGAGGGACAGCTATCCTTTGAGGATGCAGAGATGTTGGGGAATCTGACTGCCGAAGTGGCTACCACATCTTTGTGTCTTTAGATAACTCATTGGCTTCCTATGCTATCTGCTTTGCCTTCTGAAAGGAAAGGGCTGGTCCTTAATCATCTGGGTTAGCAGTACTACTGTGTCTCTTCAGTGACAGCCATACAATCCTTTCTTCTGAGTATGGAAATAAGAATGTAAGAAACTACCCTTCTTTAACTTTCAGGAGATGATGTAGCATGAAGAGAGTTGGGAACTTACTCAGATGTGACAAAGGGGAAAACAAGCTGAGAGGAAAATAATTGGATTTAGCTCTGAGCCTGAATATGCCTTGGGGATTATGCAGGAGGTGGAAGGAGTCTGTTCTCTTAGGACTTTGCTGTACTCTCCAGGAAGCCCTTGAAGAACATGTTCTTTACTGGGATGTTTGTACTTGCCCCAGGTCTGGAATCACAGTTTGAGCACTGAGATTCAGACCTGGAGGTAATGTACTCATAGGTAGCTGCTGTGTGCAACCCTCAGGAACTGTCTCTGGAGAGCTGAGTAGTTCAGGACAGCAGGAGAGAGTGGATGTCAAAGTCAGAATAACTAAATAGACTGAAGAATTCTGTAGTTGTCAGCATGCTGTGGACCAGGAGAGACACTTTGTGAGCCCTTCCTCTGACAGAACTGATGGTCAAAGGGTACCTAGAGTCAGAGGCTTAGTGTTGAAGAAGGTAGGTATGAGGGACAGGCAGGCTGGTCCATAGATCCTGACTATTCTAGGCTCCTGTGTGGCTGATACAGCCTCTCAGCCATCTGGGGAGCTTACACCAGTGATTGGAGGGTGGGGAACGAGGGGAAGGGCCTTACAGATTTATTTATGAAACACTTAGCTGATTGTGAATCCACAGATTGTCCCTACCAATAACAGGGTTACTAGAGGAGTATCCAAACATGGTCTGGTACAACCTCATCATAAGAAGCACAGCATTTTCCTTTGAAAAATAAGAATAAAACCCCCTCAGATTCTAGGGTTAAGAAAATCAAACAAAGCCTATACATATCTTACTACAGTTTCTAGACCACTTGAAACTGTCAATGAGTATTTGGCCAAAGCTGATTTGTTTGTCCAACACAATGTGTCTTGAAGAGCAAGAAAGACAGACAACAGACAAATACTGTGCCTGGTGTCATTCACTCATGGGAAATCCTCCGCACACACAGTCAAGACACCATGGTTGTCTTCTTTGGGGACTTAATCTATGTGCTGTGAAGGCACTCAGTGGAGTGAGGCAGTTGCTTAGTGTCTGTAAAATTGAGGCTGGATGCTGGAATAGGTTAGTATTTTCATTGTCTTCTATCTCTGTCAGCCTGCAGAAGAACATATTTATGTGTTCTTAAAAGTTGTTATATTTATTTAATTATGCATGTGGGGAGATGAGGTGTGTGCCACAGCATGTATAGAGGTCGGAGGACAATTTGGAAAGGCAGTTCTCTCCTCTCTTGGTATTGAACTCAAGTTGTCAGGCTTGGCAGCAAGTACCTTTTCCTGCTAAGCCATATTCCCAGTCCTGTTTGCATCTCCTTAAAGCTTCTCACCCAGATAAACAGCATGTATATGACACAATTCTAATAAAAGGGAGACTGAAGGAAGGAGCCACCATTTGTTGAGGGCATATAATATGTCAAAGCTTTATCCATATAGCAAGTGCAACCAGTCTGCAGTAGTGACTGTTTAGCAGTTTAGCACTGTCATTCACCCAACAGATTAAGAAGCACCTACTGTGTGCCAGTCACAGCAGTGTTTTTCCTCTGGTAAAACTACTTTAGCTCAGAAAGAAAGCATAGTATAGTTTCTTACAGAGACGAGAGCTGTGAAGAACACTTAAGCAGGGTAGTGGGGTCAATGAGGAGCTCAGAGCCACCAGCAGGGACAGGGCAGCCAGTGTTCAGTCTAATATGGTCCCCACAGCTGAGCACACTGCTTCTCTGTGACATTTCCTCCTCCACATAGAGGTGTGTGACTTGGGACCTTCACATCTTGTTTTCAATAGTTCTTCCGTGTGGATGTACACAGGGGATTTTAACTGCACAGGCAAATGCCTATATCTTCAGTAAGCCCCAGATCACCAGCGTTGGCCCCAGAACATCCTTGACAGAGCATATTGCTTGTAAATGTGAAATGCAATTATTTCCAAAGATAACAGACCGTGTTTGTGTTCACTGCAAAGCTAAAAAGAACAGCCTGTGTTTATCGCTGAATGCATTGCTCAATGATCAAAGTTCCTCACTCTTTGGTTTACTGGTTCTTTTCCTTGCACAGTTTCTTCCTTGACAGTTTTGGAGCTACTGTTGCTTGTAAGCCAATACATATGTCTGTTAGAATCAAATAAGGCATATCTCTTGAGCCAATAAAAATACATGATAAAAGAGATTTGCTCATGGGCCCTGGATTGGCTAGGTGAACAAGGAATTCAGATCCACCAAGGCCCACACCATCTCACAGACTTCTCTGAGCTTCCTGTCATGTAAAGTCCTCCTGATTTAGAAAGAAAGAGCTATTGTGTCAGTTGAGCCTATCACTGGGGAGCAAAGTAATAATGTTGAGATTGCTGAACCCACGTTCAAGCCCAGGTTTTGTTACCTATTAGGTGGATTGCCTAGGACAAGTCATTTGACCCATCTAACTCTGTGTCTTCATTTTAAAAACTGCAGTACCTTCTTCACTGCCCTCATGAAGACTAGTGGCCTGTTCCAGGGACTATGCAAAGAGTGGTAGCTGCTGTCAATGACAACATGTATTGAGCATAAATGTGTTGATTCCCATAAATAAGCAGAAACCCATTCAGGGGCAGACAGGGTACTGTCACTAAAACCAGCAGAGTAGGGCCATGGTATGTTATAAATGTGAATTTGCAGTGTGTGTGTGTGTGTGTGTGTGTGTGTGTGTGTGTGTGTGTGTGTGTGTGTGTGTGTTTGAGAGAGAAGGAGAGAGAGAGAGAGAGAGAGAGAGAGAGAGAGAGAGAAAGAGTGTTCATGTGTATGCAGTTGCACAAGTATATGTGAGCCAGAAGGTAACTTGAGAGTCATTTCTTTGGCACCTCTTCCTTATTTAACAGACAGGTGTCTCACCATACAACAGACCTGGAACTCACCATACAGCTAGCTGGGATAGCCAGGGAGCTCCAGGGATCCACCTGGCTCCATTTCTATGGTCTTGGGCTATCTCCACAGCTATCTCATTAGTTGTTTAGGTTCTCTAAGCCAGAATCTTGCCATTAATGAAAGCAGGGACTTGGTGTACAATCAAACCTATTTCATTGATTGTTTTCAAAGTTAAATGAGATTGTTCAAATCAAGTAATGGACATGGAACATTAAAATCTTTTTAGAATAATAAAGTATCTTTCTTTGAAAATATTTATTATTTATTTAATATGTGCATGCATGTGCCTGGAACCAGAGTTACAGATAGTTGCAAGCTACCATGCAGATACTAGGAATTGAATTTAGGTCCTTTCTAAGAGCAATTGGTGCTCTTAAACACGGAACTATCTCTGCAGCCAATAGGGACATATAACAGGTCAATCCTCTAATTTTCTTGAAGGGTCTTATAACCCAACTTGCTGACAAATTGGTACTTCCAGTTTCATATAAGATTCTGGGAAAAATCTGAACTTTCTGAAATTACAGATTTTTGTCCTGAGATTCTCCCAGGCTCTCAATCTGAGTCCCTGACAAGAATCTCCCATCACTACCTTCTGCCCCTGAGATGATGGAATTTCCATACCATTAACTTAATTAACTGCTTACAAGAGACTAATTGTTCTTCATATTTTCTTCTACATTTTAGGGGCATGCTGTATATTGGGGATGTGCATAAAGAGTGTTGTGAAGTATCTTAAAACTTAAAAAAATGTCTCAGCAAACTCTAAAATGCTCACACTCATTCCAGTTTCTTTTGTTCCTTCATTGAAGGTACCTACTGTCTGATAATAATATTTTCATCATTTTACATACAATGCCAATATTCTATTTAAACTTATAGTTTCTGTTTTCACCATTCAGATAGTATTTGGGCAGAGCTTATTCTTACTATTATTTTATAGTCGAGGAAATGACTGCTCAAAGTTGTTTTGGTGGTAAATGTACAAGAGAGGGTAACATTCAGGCCTTTGGACCCACAGCCTCTGAATGTCTATTTTTAAATGAACAAGAGAGGATAACACTCAGGCCTTTGGACCCACAGCCTCTGAATATCCATTTTTTTTGTAATTTTTTAAATTAGTTCAAATTAGGAACAAGGTTGCTTCACATGTCAATCCCTTCTCCCCACATGGGATGGGCTCTCAAAAGTCCCTCCTTACACCAGGGAAAAAGACTCATCCACTACCAGGGGCCCCCTAGAGTGCAGAGGCCTCCTCATTGACATCCATGTTCAGGGGTCTGGATCAGTCCCATGCTGGCCTCCCTCTATGCAACTAGGTTCCAGAGTTCAGTTCAGTGTATATTTGTGGGTGTCTGCCTCGGCTTCCATCAGCCACTGGTTGAGGGCTCTATGATGGCATAAAAAGCAGTCATCAGTATCATCATAGGGGAAGGGCATTTAGGCTATCTTTCCACCACTGCCTACATTGTCAGTTCGTCTCATCCTTGCAGATCTTTGGAATCCCCCTAGTGCCAGATCTCTCCTCAGACCTATAATGGCTCCCTCTGATATGGTATCTCTCATCCTGCTCTCCTCTATTCTTCCTCCAACTCAGCATTTCTGCTACTCTGTTTCCTCCTCTCCCCTCTTTTCCTCTCATTCTGGCAGCTCCCTATCCCCTACCC